GAGGTCGTGAGAGGAGAAGGCTTTCATATTCAATGAGGACTTTCATCTTTTCTGTCACTTTGAAGTCAGGTGGTTTATATAATTCTCTGTGATTCGAAGCAACGCCAGTCAAGAAAAAAAAATAAAGCAAGGAACAGAAGCACATTACAGACGCAAAGGAATTTTAAGTGAACCAGTCCAGGAGTTATGTCACTGGTAAAACTATTGTCATTATACTGAAATCAGGGATAAACAAGAGCTGATAAGGACACATCAGAGTGACATCACTCTGAGGAAATACTGGTTGTCAGAGTACAGCCTGAGAAAACATTTAACACCAGGACAAGACACTGAGATGAGGCCAAACTTAAATTTTTAAACAAACCAAAGTAAATTGTATTTACTTTTTTAATCTGAAGAGATTATCACACAAACTTTGCCCTGACATGCATCTAAATGAGACCTGACGAATTAAAAGCGACAGGATAATTAGCAGCAGCTTTCTCTTCTCAACACTGTACAAACCAGGAAGAGTACGAGTGTGTTGGGGATGTGGGCTTAACAGTTGAAGCAGCCAGCCAGGTTACAATAAGCTTCTTTGGTCCGCAGGAGGGATTTGGCCTTGAATGATCCAGAGGTAAATTGTGTTCCTGAACTCCTCCAAATCCGTGCAGTGGAAAGAGGGGAGTATTACTGTTGTTCATGGTGTGTGAAAAAGCTACTTTGTAGTTTTTCATAGTCTCCACTGTGAGTAAGCAAGAATAATATTACACCCGGCGTAAATACAGACTGGAAATATATTTAATGTTCTCAGTTTTGCATGACTAAATCTGTGCCTTACATCTGGTGAAAGAGGAACACATTTCGTGCGCATATGAAATTGTGATAGTTGAGCTTGTTAATGAAATCCTAGTCACTGTACAAGGCTCAAACTGACAAATCCCCTGCCCGTTTCCTCCCTGCCAAGCTATACAGCTGCATCTTCCAAAATAGCTAAAGGGGCAGCGAGAGGGCAAATCTGCTAATGGCATCAGTCCAGTGTAGAGTACCACTCTGCCGATCAGATACACAGCTCACATACACATGGGCAATGGACCTAGTGGTGATCCAGCAAAGCAACAAGTCAAACATTTGCAAAAACAATGACACAATGTCGTCCTTCACTGTAACATTACAGCGATAACACTGCAAGTCTGGTTCACAGAACCGCTCAAAATACAAAATGTGTTCGACCATAACCACGTTTAAAAATAGCATCTGTAAAACACAGATATGTACAATAACTGCAGAGCCACCGAGCAAGTTTAAACATATAGTACTACCTTTTTGTATATTCAGTGCTGGTCTCAGAGGACTGGGTCTAAAGAGAACTGACATTCACTATGATTAAACTGGTACTATCTGAAGCCAAACCCAGGGGTACACAGAAATCCCAAATGTTCAGCGCACAGTCTTCTACTCCAGAGTATTAGTCCCACTTCTCTGCTGTATGTCCTCATTTGTCTCTGATTGAAGCGCATATACTAAAGATGCCCACTGGGTGTTACACAGGGGATCCAGAGACTGTCGCAGAGGAGGGAAAAGGAAACAAACAGAGAGATAGGAACCGAGCGTGGACGGGACGAGAGAAGATAGAGTAATCCGTGGTCTTATTACGGTGGGAAATGTGAGGGTCCCGCTCCAAGGGAATGATGGAGGACTCTGTGGAGGAGGCCTCTGAGAACCAACAAAGACTGCTTTAGTTTCACTGGCAGAATGCATTTGCATAGCTTAGAAGCCAAGGCGTCTGAACAGGGGCTCATGAAAAGAAACCCCTCGCAATTGCTTGGTCTTCAATGCAAACGAGGGGGAACGAGCAGAGGAGAGAGCGAGGGAGAGAGAGGTGAGGTTAAATCAGTATGAACTTTTTCCCTCCTCTGTAACATAACACTAAATGAGATCAGGAGGATCTACACATCCCCTTGGAGGTTGTCGCTGACTGACTTTGATGCAGAGGGAACATACTGAAGGCGGTACATCTCCTGATTAGGTGACAAGCAGAGGAGCGTTTCCACGCTATCACAAGATGCATGCACCCATGTTCCTGTCTGACAATATTGAGTATAGTCAGAGTGTCATCTCTCCACACACTCCACGCTGATGACACCAGAGGAAACTTTAGCAGGTCATTCAGCTCATGATGTCACATTTCCATCTGCTGTGATGGAGGAGCTGAGACTGAGAGAGGCTGTGAGGTCTGTGGAGACATCACAAGGACGAGCACACATTAGGAATAGAAATGCATCTTCAAAATGGATAAGTATATGAAACTGGGGAAAGAAAAACAAACATGAGGTGTGGCCTCTTATCAAAGAGTAAAGACCTGTCCTCTTCAGTCCACTATTTAAAAGACTGGTGTTTGACTTCTCCATTAATAAATCACTGCACTCCAGTTAACAGTTTTTGCAGCAAAGTCTCATCTTTGCGACTCACCTCATCCATTTGCTGCTAGCTAAACATTGCTATCTGAGAAGAGAAATGAAATAATGCTTTGACTGCAACAACAAGGATTGATGGAGAGTCGTGGTTCGATTGAACTGCTTGTCACTGCAGGGAAAAAAAGCAATATCCACTGCGCCGGTTTAAAGAGTTGAGCAGCGTGCTCAGGGATCATCCTCCGTGAGACCTGCTTGTGAAATTCCCCTGCTTCTATACAAAACGGACAATGTTATTTGTTATCTTCTCACAGACTTCATTTATTTCAGCCACAAATACACTCGCCTTTCCACCTGTGGTTCCAGCTGACCCCCACCACAACAGAACAGCATGTGTCAAA